TTTACTCTGAGACTGATACTTGGTAAGGAGGTCCACCAACGCGATCATCTAACTGTATAATCATATTAAGTAAAAAAACGTTTCAGAATCGCGATATATTCATATTGACGAGAAAGAGAGAGATATGTTAATGATTTTTTCTTACAGGAAAAATCAATGTTATAAGCTCTCCACCGGGTTTCAGAAGTTGTTCCATACGCTTATTAGCCCATAAAGGTCGCACTTCAGGTTCAAATGCACAGAAGAAACTGCATAAATTATCATAATTACAGGCATATCAGATGGAGTTTTGTTGTTCTTCTTCGTATGAACCAAGAAATCAAAACAATATAAAGTTATACAAGGATAGAACATAGAAGTATACTTGTAGTCGAAAATGAGGTCGAATTTTTCGGTTGGTTCCCAAGTGAAGAAGTCTTCTTCCAAGAAGGAGAAATGTTTTGAATTAGGCAATGAAGAGAACATCTGCATTTGAGGTTTTAAACATCAAATTTCTAAAAATTTTTCAAGCATTCAACAGAGAAAATCTAAGATATTGTCCCCAACCTTTGTTGATCTTTCTACCGAGGTTTTTGAAAGATCGAGTCCAACAACATAACGGTCAGGGTTTGCCATCACAACCACATCATAGCCCTGCCAAAACCACTTTTCAGACGATGAAAACTTCACAAGAAAGAATCTGAGTGATAGAAAAAGAAGAAAATCAAAACGACTTACCGTGCCACAACCGGGAACTAAAGCTCTTCCATTAGGCAATGAACCAGTTTCGCAGAGGTGGACAACAATGGGAGTTGCTTCACCTAAATCCCACAGTGTGCGTCCTTCTGCCCAAATTTTTTCCCATCCACCTAAAAAACAACACAGATCATAGCCGTTCTGTTCTATTATGAGTGTGAAGGTAGTCATTAACAGTCGTTTAACATCGAAATCCTGAAGATTACTAAAAAACGAAAACAATTTAGAGGTGACGAGGTTACCAGGAGGCTCTTTGATATCCATTGGTAGATCACTGCAATCAGAAAACAAAATGGCAAAGGTTCTTTGTGCCAACAGTTAATGTTATTCTCCTTCTCTGAATGAATTCTATAACCAAACTTGCATATTGTATATAGAACTAAACCTGCTCAGAATTTTCTCTGCCGTGGAACATATTTTCAAAGTAAGAAAAAACCAAAAAAGAGTTGATTTTGAAATATCAATGCACTGAATCAGCCATGACGAATGGATAAAGCCAACAAGACTTTTTCAACCTTCTGGATGCTAATGAACCCATAAAAAGAGTACTCAAACCTGATAAGTGATAAGTGTGATGAGCATAAAGCGAACTATACTTTCGCGTTTTATTGAAAAAGGATTCAAAATGGGAAATGTTGAATATTACACACATTATACATATACATGTAACATGCCTGTACATATACTTCTTTCAGGTGTTTCAGATTCCACGTCTCTTTCCATGTCATCCACGTTTAATTTATCGGTGAAAACTCACATAACATCCAGCGATCGAATCATATGAGCTTCTGTAATCACAAGGTAGAGCGTAACGTGCAAGGTTTTCTCCATCTTCCAATCTTCTCTATTCCCTGAAATTGGTTCTAAGGTAAGATTATCTTCCATCGAATTATCTCAAGGCTTATTCGAAAGTTAGCGTTGGTATGTACCTTGCGTGGTCCAACAGCAAGTTCGTTATCCACAATGGAGGTTGCTTCAAACCCCAATGGAATCAAAACCTTCTCGTATCTGCACGTTGAGAGATTACAGAGTGAAGATTGGCCACGATATTTCAGTGATGTTGCTCTTAGTAAAAGAGATAACAGGAGAAAATTACTCAGACACAGAAACTGTATACGGAGGACCTTCAGCACGCTCCTCGATCTGTACAAGACAGCCTATTTTCAGTTTTCAGCAACTACGGAAATGCGAGGACACGGAACAGAGAATATAAATGTTATGATTCTCACAGGAAACATCAATGTTATAAGCTCCCCACCGGGTTTAAGAAGTTTTTCCATACGCTGTGCCCATAGAGGTCTCACGCCAGGTTCAAAGGCACAGAAGAAACTGCGAGAATGGTCAAAATGCAGTTAGATAAGGTAAAGTCATATTGTATGAACAAGAAACACAGATCTAGATTATGTACATACGTATAATCAACAATGAGATCGAATTTTTCAGCTGGCTCCCAAGTGAAGAAGTCTTCAGTCAAGAAAGAGAAATATTTTGCATTGGGCAGTGAGGAAAACTTCTGCATTGAGATTAAACAAAATGTGTTAAACCTATATGCAGGCTACATATATGAAAATCGACAAGCTACTCGCACCTTTGTTGATCGCTCAACCGCAGTTTTTGATACATCTAGTCCAATGACATGACGATCAGGGCAGGCCATTGCCACCACATCATAGCCCTGCAAAAACCATAACAACTATTACACGGAAGCATTAGAGCATCCGCATTGGAGACAAATGTGGATGTCTTTAAATATAAAATTATTAAAATTTGAGTAAAATGAAGAAAGAGAGTGTTTTTGGTTGAAATAACGGAGTGTATTGAAATTTAAAATTAATAAAATTTGAGTAAAGAGAGGAGATAGTGGATATTGTTGGAGAGATTGTGTCTCTAGGAAGACATAAATAGTGACTTTTGGAGAGAGAATATGGGTGTGTTTAAATATAAAATTAATAAAAGTTGAATAAAAAAATGAAAGAGAAGGTATAAAGTTAAGTATAAGGAAGAGAGAGTGTGTTTTTAATATTTGTTTATTTAAAAACATCCACAAAAGATGACGAATGCGGATGCTCTTAGGGTTAATAGTTCGAGAAGATGACTGATTGATTTAGTAAGACAGTCAGAGAGCAATGCAAGCACCGATCACACGAGGCACGTATACAATAGAACATACTCAACGATACTACTGAAATGGTCATAGTTCTCTAGCAGAAGGCAAAAATCAAAGAACTAGCTTTATCGTTAACTTGATATCAAGCAAAGAAGCTAAAGTAAGTTTGATTTCAAGTGTTGACACAGACAAAAAGTGTCGAAGAACATACAGTGCCACAACCAGGAACTAGAGCTCTGCCATTAGGTAATGAACCAGTCTCGGTGAGATGCACAATGATCGGAGTTGGTTTCCCTAAGTCCCATGGAGTTGCTCCTTCTTCCCAGGTCTTCTCCCACCCACCTAATACAATACGAGAAATCCATTCAACGACGAACAAAAAATTGCTTCAGAGCAAAAAAGAAGAAATTGATCTGAGCAAAATTAAGGGTTTTCAATTCAATTACCAGAAGAATCCTCGCTCATCAAACGTAAGAAGATCTCACGCGGCGATTCAACTGCCGGGGCTTTACCGGCGTTTTCCATCGGAATCAACGAAGGAAATACGAAGGAGAGAAAAATCAAAAATGGTTTTTGCGAAGAGAAAGCTAATTAAAGAAGAGAGACATCATTAGTCATATATTAATATTATAATAAGACTGAGGAAAGCTAAAGAATAGTATTTTAAACCGATGTGTGATCTTACAAAAAAATCGTATAGAATTATCATAATGATGGTGTATCCAAAAATTTTAGACAAAAAGAATAATATGTTGTGTGTTATGTTTTGATCAAGATTCATAATTTACAACGAAGAAGAAGGCAGTGAGTGAAATCAATCAATCAATCGAGGTAGAAGAGAGTGACGATCTTGCGGAGATTTTTAGCTTCTTGACATGTCTCCATGAGAAGTTTACTGTCATGAAACGCAAAGCAGATTACTTGTTGTACTTGTGATATTATGTCCATATTACACAGCCTGCAAAAACATCAAAATTACTCAGGTTTCATTACGTACGTGTATATATATGTTCTTGAAGATCAAATTTGTTGTACAATGATTTTTTCTTCACGAACCTGCTGGCTTCTAGTAATGGCAAATGGTCATTGTGCGGCTTTTCTACCACGTTTTGTACCTACGAATGACGGACATAGCGGAAAAAGGAGAGTTTCCAGATGTAAATCGGAGAGATTCAATGAACTGAAACAAGATTATGAATTTTACGCAAAAGCAGTTTTTGCTTACTTTAGACAACAGTTCTTGGCTCTCAGGAGGTTGTTTTTTCAAACTTTGTGGTAAAATCACTGTAAGAAGCTCTGGTCTCTCTGCTCTCAATGCACCTCTGATAACAGCTGCATTAGTTCCAGATGCACCTGAAGTATATATATGATTCTTCTGCAAGAACCGAATTATCGGAGAGATGATTTAGGAAAACTTTAAAAATAAGATTGGAGTTAAAGATACAAAGATGAAAGCTGAAATGTCTTACTGTTATAACCATGGCATAGCTGAGTATCTCAATCAATTCTTGATGCATGAAACCCATATTCCTTGTCCCAAAGAAGCCAATTGATCTAGGCCCTTGTTGCTGTATCGCCAATAACTCCTGTCGATTTACCATACACGGTTACAGCTAGCTAAAAGATTTGTATAAGAGCATATTTTCCTTCAGGTATGGCTGTGCGGTGAATTTCAAGAGAGAGTAGTCTTACTTGTATGTAATCTACATCAACGGCAGGTTTTATTTCGGAAACTACAACTGAACCAGATCCTTCAACGATAGCCTGAGCCTGAGTAGGAATCCTGAGCCCGGACTCTTCATCCGATTCAAGCCCACATGTTATGTGGTTATCACCATTTCTCTGGATATCTGTGTTTTCTTGATCTCTCGTGTGTTCAGGATAACACTATACACAGCATTTCAATAAAACAGAGTCCCTGGGATTAAATCATTAGCGAAAAGCCGAAAACACACAAACAGCTCAATACTATACTTGCAACAGAGACAAGCTCAAACACTCAAGCTTTCTAAAGTATATATACTAAAGATACAATGTAGGCTGATGAACATTAAGGGCTCAGAGCAATCATCAAAAGTTTTGATATGCAATGAACATTTAATAGAATGAAATATATTATCTATGAGCAATGGACATTAAAACTGGAAACTCACCAAACTACTACCATTGAAGAAGAAAGCGATGATTGTAATTAATAGAGCAATTTTGCAGTATAAATGGGCAAAACACAATCTGACGAATTCTACTACTTTTCCGAGATTGATGAAACCATTTCCGATCAAGGCTTCATAAGTTTAAAAAGAGAGAAAATCGGAGAATACCATGGGAATAAACGGAGAATAGGATCTGAATCGCTGTCTTCGCCCAGGGAAAAGCTGCCACTG